AAATTCCTCTCTTCTAAGTCATCTGCAGCTGTTTTCACTAGAATCAACCAGAGAATCAGTGAGGCGAATGATAGTTTTATCAGGGAGTTTTTTGTTAGACATCTCAAAGACAAGTTGGTACACGGAGTTGTTGCACAAACTCTATGCATTTCTAGAAGAATTTATGCAATCAAACCCTTTCCCTCAGGTAAGGTCCATGAAGTTCGTTGTGAATGTCCAGTCTTCCGAAACTCAAGTTGAGACAGGCGGTTTCAGAGTCTCTCGCCTGGGTTCTACTCACTTCCCCTTTTCTTTTCTTTTTTTAAATTAACGCTCTACTTTAGAACATTTTCATGTCACTCGTAAGCAGATATACACTTCTAAAATCCTAGACGATCCAACCCTTACAGCCGATATCTTCTCTGTCGTAGCTCTAACAGCTCAATAGAGAATTATGTAATTTGTTACTTATAAAAAGAGAACCTACAGTCGTTTTATTATTAACGTTCAGACTCTGAGTTTACACTAATCAGGGTGAATAGCTCTATTCTCAGTGAGACTCCATGAATTTAACGTGTCTTTCATTTCTACACCTCAAAACAAACAAACAAACATATATATGCAATCCGTTACCAACGGTAATGGCAATAGCAGGAAGAGGCACGGTGAGTAATCGATAGTCGTTCGATTTCCAGTCGAATCCATTACATTCACTTACGTGCTAATAACCTCGGTAAGTCAGTTATGTGCCATGAGTGATACACTTAGGCGATCATGTATTTTTCGATACATGACTAACGAGTCTGATTTTTTTTTTCCCGCAGTAGGTTGCGTTTTCTTTCTGGAGGTAGACTAGTTGCCATTCAAGGCTAGAGAACACGGCCTGTCCTGCTATTTACTGGGGGAGAAGAAGATGATTCATACTTTTCCCATGGGTATTAGCACGTAAGTGAATATAATGGATTAGACTGGAATGCATTACATTACTAGAATCCATAGCATGACTAGTCCTAATTTGGAATATCTAAATTGGTGGAACTAAGGAATGTAGCTCGTCTGAAGATTTGCCGCGAAAATAACAACAGGTTACCAAGAATCTAGCAACATTTTAGCTGTTGGGGAAGTAGTAGCAGAGTGGGGTGCAATTCATCACTCACAGGGCCTCGTAATCTTTTTTGAACTCTTTGACATTTAGGAAGGGACAGCTGTGGTTCAGATATGGCAACAATAGTTCACCTTTGGTTTGATTTGACTTTTCCTCAATCCGAGCCGCTATCTATATTACTCCACCGTGCCTCCAGGAGGATATATCCTTGGATAGCAACTGGTCTACCGCATAAAGAAATGGCAATGTACTGCGGGAAAAAAATCTTGTCAGTCATGTGTCGAAAGATACATGATCGCCTAAGCGTGTATCACGCATGGCACATAACTGACTGAATGGTAATATTAGCCGTTTCCATACAGGGAAACATTGGGTATTCATTGACCAACTCGACATTACTACTGTCGTTTGAAATTTATATCGCAAAATACATTCGAATGCTTAAAGGTGGTCATCAGTGATGAAAGCCGTCTTCATCGCTGATTTCGGGGTTCTTATTCATCATATCAGCTCCGACAGCCACCCCGACCTGTTATCTTATTCTACAGGTCGCCACCGTGTAAAGAATTGTGCTAGTGCTCATGACAGAATTTATACTTTCTGCTCTTTAAAAAAAAAATTGATTTGAATTAAATTAACAATTTATATGGTAGAGACGAATTAATTCTAAATTATAACGTTTAAAATAAATTGACGATATTGTGGCGTATAGTATAAATGAATTTTATTAATGTTAATTTGTGGATTGATTTTAATTTATGTTACATTAAAATATAATAACATTATCGTATGAACGGAAAAAATTCTAAATTATGATAAGTTCCAGTACCTGAACAATATCTGATGTTAAGTTACACTATTTTCTGTTTCATGACAAGAAAAATTTTTTTTTCGAGAGTTTGTGAGCTAAATTTAACTAAAAATCTACAACAACCTATTTATTCGCAAGCAACATAAATCCAGATAATTTTATCAATACTGTGGGGTGATTTTGTCTCTAGCTTTTTAGGGATTGTTTTTCATTGAATTATTCCCCCACTGCTCGGATCCTTTAAGCCATATCCATTTAGAAGTCGTCAGAGCTTCATTTGAAATTTTCTTAACGGCTTTGGCTTTAGCTGATCCCACAATCCCTATTTTCCTAAAAGCTTTGCATAATGACTGGCCTGCAAAGCCACGACATCCTACTTCCACAGAGTCATATATAAAATCTTTCTCTTAAATCAACTTTTCAGGAACACAGTTTTCCTCAAGTTCAGTAGCTGTTAACATTCTTTCCAATACCGACGGGGGTTTCCTTCCTAACCTTTTGTTTGAAATATTGTGAAATGTTAACTTCTTGATTATATCATTATTTTCCCATCGAGTTACATGTACTATACATTTTAGCTGTTTCCGTTATTGGTAATCCTCAAGTGATGTGGTCTCTGCTATTTGGTACAGTTCTTTGTGAATCTGTCGTGGCAGTCTACAATGTTTAACGAGGTGTGATCTTCACCAAGGCATTCAGTCTTCACTGGCTCAAAGACTTCTTTCAACATTGATCTTAGAATGCGGTTGCATATAGCTGAGAGTTTAGATATTTCGTAGCGGTTTTGGAGGCATGTATGGCATGTATATGAATGTCTCGATCTGAAAAGTCTATTTAAGAACATGACTCGAGTTTTCATGTTGATGATCTGGTTTTGCAGAAATTCGCAATGTAGGTAGAACCTACATCTGGCGTAGGTATCTGAAGTGTTTAGTATTTACTAATTCCACATACTGAAATTTTATAATGTATTCAGGGTAGATGTCGTCACTGCTTTTATTCGAATTCCAGATTATAGCTTCCAAAGGAGATGGAAAAGTTTAAAAGCCTGTCAATAAAATATTGCGATCTCCAATGCAAATCTTCAGATGAGCTGTTATTTAGCTCCACTACTTAAACTATTTTACTGTAATGACACGCTTGTAAGAAGGAAGTTCAGCTGAAACTGTTTTTTTTTCTCTCTCAAGACTGCCACTATAAGAGACTCCTATGTGGGTGCATCCCTGAACACTTTAATCTTGACCTCTACAAGTCAAGCTTCAATCGTTATCTATCCTGCTTATCCTCATAATCTCCTCTTCCTACCAACTTCTGTTCCATCCATATAGCACATCGCATTCATCACACATACCCATTTCGATTGTAAATCTTTACCCAGAGCAGCCGTTTGTACTGGATTAAATTTAGTAAATAATGTCACTTGAGGACATGGGAAATCAAGCACGACATAACTTACTTCCCTATCTCCGCCAGAATGTGCGCCCAGGAGGGTCAAAGAGCATTGATCTGAAACTGGACAAAACAGGTAACGATATCGAGGATAACTCGCCCGTTCGCCATTACCATTTCTCAAGCTTGTTGAATCTTCTCGTCACTGGTGAATGTTGATGGGTGTCTTGTCTCTTTCTTCGTGCGTCACTCTTGACCGGCCATTTTTAAACTTCTTGATTCACTCATACACACTTCTACTTCTGTCGTAATATTGTGTTAAAAGCCTCCGATTAATTTCATCACCTGGCAAACCTTCCGACCAAAGAAATCGGATTACAGCTCTTTGTTCCTCCTTGGTGCACACTGTCAGTGGAGAGGCCATGTTTACACTGTAACAGCAGCAAGCAAACTGGCACAATCAAGATGAAACTTCGATCACGTAACCACAATAGTACCAACTATAAGCACGCATGAGCAGAAGGCAGTGTGTCAAACGTAAAGATGTGATGTTTTAGATGTTATTTCTAAAGTGCGGATGATTTTTGACTTATCCTTCCACTGCCTCTATAAATTACAGCTTAGAATACAAATATTGAAAAACATTAACAAAGAATCATATGAAAATTACTAATTAATTTTCTGAAAGCGCTTTGGACAATAATCAGTATGGTGAATATATTAGCCCCATCCAAAAAGAAACATGAAAGAAAATTAGAAATAATTAATATAAAAAAAACTCATAAGATTTTCCTTCTCTGCCGCATTCAGTGAAACATATATAAACGAAAGGTTGATTCCTAAATAAACAACACAAACGCATACGCTAAATAAACAACACAAACGCATGCGCTAAATAAACAACACAAACGCATGCGCGCGCGCGTGTGAGTGTGTGTGTGTGTGTGTGTGTGTGTGTGTGTGTGTGTGTGTGTGTGTGTGTGTGAATTATGGTAAATTGAGAAGCATAGTTACGGAATAGGTTGACAGGTATATTTTTGTTTCCTATAAAACTTTGATTTTTGTTGTTGAGTAAACTCAAATTCGCCTATCACGCTCGTCAACACGCCAAATCAAGAATAAGTATTCGCAAACTCCCTACGGCAAATATTTTAACAAAAACCTAAGTAAAGAATATTAAAAAGAATATCTCAGGTTGATATTTACGTGCTTGGATGTAAATGCACGCAAGCACTTTCTGCGCTAATCTACTAAGTACATTCGCAATTCTATCTATCATTCTCTCTCTCCTCTCTTTCTCTTTCTCTTTCTTCTCTCTCTCTCTCTCTCTATATATATATATATATATATGTATATATATATGTGTGTGCGCGTGTGTGTATTAAAGAGAATGAGATAGATAGATAGATAGATAGATATTAAAGAGACATAGATAGATAGATAGATAGATAGATAGATAGATAGATAGATAGATATTAAAGAGATAGATAGATAGATAGATAGATAGATAGATAGATAGATAGATAGATAGATAGATAGATAGATATACATACAATAGGCAAATACTTTGGGGCCTCTCGATGGATTTAATAATTAGTAAGTTTCATATGTTCTTTCATTTAATTAACTCCTACTGATCTAGGATAATGAAACCATTTAACTCATTCGTGCATGGTGTCCAATATTTTAGAGTAGGGATTACCTCAGACAAGACTTACAGCCACATCAAGTTGAAACACCGGTTCTTGAACGATCACCGAAGTTAAGCAACATCGGACCAGGTCAGTACCTAGATAGGTGACCGCTTGGGAATACGAGGTGCTGTAAGCTTGTATGTGTGGATTGTGTAATAGATAACGACTCGGAATTGTTAATCGGAGAGCTGTGTTCCAATTCCAGTTGGGTCAGTTATATTCACTTACACGCAAATACACTTGAGAGAGATACGTATCCACCTCTTCCCTTTAGCTATGGGTTACTTAGTAGGACTTGTATCGCAAAATCATTATTATCTCATCACAAACAAAAAAGCTTACGATATAAAAATAATTTAAATAACCTGCTCCTGGGTTGATGAGCCGTAGAAAACGAATCAAACAATTGAAATTTAAAATCCGCCAGCCCTAAAATTACAATTAGCCATTAAGTTAGATGAGGTAAAAAGAGCTAAACCATTAAGGAAGCTTTATGCAGTAATGGATTATTATTTGTATTATTATAATTATTATTATTATTATTACTGAATATATGATAAAATAATTAATTAATCAATGTCTCTCTGGTCGGCAGTGCGCTAATTAATTACTTTTGAAAAAGACGCGCTACCGTTTTTTAGGTGATTCTTCAAAATCCAGTGTGTGATTCGAAACGCTTGGTCTCTACTATTTATTTATTTATTTATCTATCTATCTGTCTATCTATCTATCTATATATTGGGGTTACGGCAATACCCTATGTTCCTGTGTTATAAATCGATTAACTTTTGTTCACAAGTAATAAAAAAAGCATTAATTTGTTTTACTTCTCGAAAAATGTCACCCCAAACTGAAAATTTGACTTTACCATAAACACAATAAGGGTAAAAAATCAAAATATTTCAGAAGCTTTATTTTTCAATTTGCTAATGATATAATTAGAGAGTAATTATGCATTTTTAACGCATTTAACAGTTTATAGCTATAGCATAACATACAATCTTATAAATAGACAAAAATGTCAAACTTACCCCTTCTTTTTACAAACGTCATAACGATCTTGAAGTCACTTGATAGACTGTTCTGCAAACTGATTTGTTCTGAAAATTTCCATTTTCGATTATTCTGGATTCGAAAGCTTTGTCAAAGATTTTAATTCTTTCTGTGAGTCTGTAAGCTGCTACGTAGCTTCCGATAATTATCTGCATTGTAGATTTGGTCAGTAAACAAATGGACCGCTCATCTGTAAGACGAATATTTCAATGTTTTGTTTTCTTCAAGTTTAACAGATTCTTTAATACAGGGATGCTGGGCACAGACGTCTCTGTCGATCTGATGCTTGCGATCACTCCCCAAGATGAAGGAGAGCATGCATTCGAATGCATTCCGAGGGTCCGTGTAGAGAGGGAGTACAGACAAACGATAAAGGATGATACGTACGTAGCACACGCCTCAGCCCTACCTTTCACACATAACTGCTTTCGGTGTCAAGTTCTAACCGCCGCCCTGACTTTTTCCTGTACCTCCGATCAATTCTTCTCCAGCTGGAGCCCGGACCCGAAGCACACTCCAAGAATGCCAACGAGCTAGTTAGTTCATCCAAAGGGTTCCGAAATAGCGGCTCCCTTCCAGGCACCTAACCGCAAGCCGGAAGACTCAATAGTGTTTCATCATGGCTTCCGTGACCTTGTCGTACCATTCGAACGCCTTCTGTACCACCTCAATGTCGCTGCGGCACGACACGAAAATGGATACGTCATCGGCGTACGCGGAAATCCTGGCTCGAAACCCGACAATGTACGGCAATTCCAAAATCAGAGTGTAAAATACGACAGGGGGTAAACCTGTAGAACCGACCTGAACCATAGCCCACTGATGTAGCGATACGAGAGGTTAATCCACCTGCAGAAATCGGGTTTGAATCCAGCAGTCTGAAAGACAGCAGCCACGTACCGATAGTCGACCTTGCCAAATTGATCAGCGCGGCTTGGCATCATCTTTTACAGTCTCTAGGTTCGTGCGGACCAGATGCAGGTTGCTCTAAATTATTCGGCACTTCACAGCAAAAGTCTGCTCGGGTCCCAAAAGAATCACCTTTTGTATTAAGCGTTATATTTTTTCTTTATCTCTTGGGAAGGTTTGGAAAGGGGGAGAAGATGGAGCCCTAGAAGTTGAAGAAGAGAGGCTCCTAGTTTTACTTTGGCTGGAAAGTTCTATTTCTGCTGGCGAAGCAGGGACAGATTGGGACTTGTTTTTGACAGTTGTACTTCATCTACGTGGCACGTGAAACTAGAACAATCTTGCCCGGTTGACGAAATAAAGGGTTCAGTTTGAAATTCAAATGTATATCACCTGAAGAATGTCGGGGTGTACAACGGCCGAAAAGTCGTGAATATGAGAATAAAGATGAGAACAAAATTACGAACAATGTAAAAATACTGTAAATAAAATATATATATATATATATATATATATATATATATATATATATATCCCCTCTCATCGTTCTCTCTGTTTTTGTTGTTGTTGTATGTGTTATATGTAATAGGAATAGGTAGGCTTTCCTACCGCCCGGTCAACACTCCCCCCCATTCTCTTGGACATGAGTAGAGGCTTACGCCTTGTTTCTTGTTTAGGAAGGGGTTCCCGGTACTCTCTCTCTCTCTCTATCCCTCTATCTGGCCTCTGTATTAGTGCAGCTCTGTTTCTCCCGTGATGTGTGCAATCTGTGGCATCACCTCTTCATTCTGAGGGTACACAGTTGACAGTTCTCTGGTTGCTGTTTCCGAATGGTAGTTAGGATCCCTAACTCTTGCGTAGCGTCTTGAGCAGCCGCTCTGATCAACAGTTGTATAATACCGGGGTGTTTGTAGTTCCATGTCGCGCATGGAAAGGTGTCCCTGCAGTCACCTCCAGTGGGCAACCCTGAGGCCACATTATGATGCAGGTGTGCCAACTCCTCTCCGCCCACGTCACGGTCGAAACTGTCTGCATCTTTTATTTCGGGCCTTCTCATCTTCCAACCAATATTCCACATGACTTACAAAGACCGAAAAAATAATCCTAAACCAGCCACTCATAAATCACCTAAACCCCTCAACATTTCGTTCTCCAACATCTGTGGCATTAGAACAAACTTCTGCAATATGAAATTTTTCCTCACTGCAAACGGCCCGGATATACTGGCTCTCTGTGATACTAACCTTGTCTCGTCTATCCCCTCCTCTGATCTCTCTATCCCAGGCTACCTTCCTCTCTTCAGAAAAGACTCTCTAACCCACATGCACGGCCTTGGTGTCTACGTCAAGGACCATCTCCCTCTGGCCAGAGAGTTGTCTCTCGAATCGCCAGACCAGTCGTACATGTGTCTCCGACTATCTCTTCTCAATGCGGTAAGCTATCTCTTCTTCCTTTACAGCTCTCCATCCTCTCTAGAGTGTGTGATACTCGATAGCATTTCTGACAGCATAGACAAGGCTCTCTCCCTCCACCCGTTTGCTCACATATTTGTGTTTGATGACTTTAACGTCCATCAAACTATGTGGCTTAAGAGTGCTACTACTGACCACGCAGGCATTCAAACGCTCAATTTTTCAGTCTCTCAATCCCTCACGCAGATTGTTAACTTCCCCACTCGTTTTGCCTTCAACCGGGAAGGTAAAGCCTCTCTTCTCGATCTGTGTTTTACCTCCATCCCCGAGTCCTGTAGCGCCACGCAACTCTGCCCTCTTGATCATGCGGTAGTATCTGTTAACATCTCCTTCAACTCCACCCCCTGCAAATAACCTCCTACCACTAGACCTTCCTTTTACTATCAACGAGCTGACTGGGACGCGTTCCGTGATTTCCTCCGCGATGTCCCCTGGGATCGTGTCTTTACGCTCCCCGTCCAAGAATGTGCTTCTGAGGTCTCATCCTGGGTTAAAGCTGGAATCGACGCTTTTATCCCCTCAAGGAAATATAGGCTCAAGTCGCGCTCCTCCCCTTGGTTCTCCGCTGCTTGCTCAGCCGCCATCGTCCATAGGAACTACTTCTTTCACTTATTCCGTAGCGACATGTCTGACTGCAATAGATGTCTCTTTGTCTCTGCTCGTAATGAGTGTAAACGTGTCCTCAACGATACTAAGTCACTATTTGCTGCTCGGATGAAGGAGCGTATTGCATCTCGCAAATTTGGCTCCAAAGATTATTGGCGTCTCTGCAAGAGCGTATTGAACAATTGAAAACCCTCTATACCTCCATTGTTCAACCAGTTCGAAGTCCTGACCTCCTTTGCCGACAAGGCTGAATGCTTTGCTCGGAAATTTTCATTCAACTCGACGCTCGACTCTTCCGGTGTGCCCATACCCGACTTCCCTCTTAGAACTGAAGCCCTATTGAGTGGGTTACACATAACCCCGTCACTGGTACTGGGCATTATCTCCAATTTAGACCCCAACAAGGCTAGTGGTGGAGATGGGATACCACCCATTGTCTTGAAGAATTGCGCGCTTGAACTGGCGCCCGCCCTTTCTAAACTATACAACTACTGCCTCAAGGAATCTTGTTTTCCTGACTGCTGGAAGTCCTCTTCGATTGCTCCTGTCTTCAAGAACTCTGGCGATCCCTGTGACCCTTCTAACTACCGTGCTATCAGTCTCCTACCCCTCTTCGGCAAAGTCTTCGAAGCCCTAATCAATACCGAGGTGGTTAACCACCTCACATCCCATGATCTGCTCGCAGACAAGCAATATGGCTTCCGCTTTGCCCGATCTACAGCTGATGTGCTTACGGCCATCACCGAAACTGTCTACCGAGCACTTCAAAATAACGGGGAAGCTCGTGCCTTGGCCCTAGACGCCTCCAAAGCATTTGATAGGGTTTGGCATGCTGGCCTTCTTCGAAAGCACCAGGGTTATGTCATTACGGGTCGATTGTTTGACCTAATACAATCATTCCTGTCAAACCGTGAATTGAAGGTCGTTCTCAACGGATTCTCCTCCATTTCCTATCCCACGAACGCAGGTGTTTCTCAAGGTTCCATCCTAGGCTCCACTGTACTCCTTATCTACATAAATGACCTTCCTGACGCCATAAATTCCCAAGTTGGCATCTACGCGGATGACACCACAATTTATTCCTGCCTCAAAAACAA